CATCCAAGCGCCTGACCCAAGCCAGGTGCTTACAACCTCTGAGGATGCGGGTGGAATTGGAACTGTGCATCAGGAGGACCAGAAGAATCCATGCCTTTGAGGCAGGGTGCAGAGTATCCGTGCTGGGAGAAGGGCAGCCAGCACACCTCTTGGAAGTGAGGCTCGTGAGACTGCCTGTGCCGTATTCTGGACATGTTAGCAGGAGAGGCCAGTCCTGGGGAAGAACAGTGGGCCTGGTGAGGCAGAAGGACAGCGACAAGGAGGCTTTAGGTGGGATGGATTGACAGGGGCTTTGACGGTGGGCCCCAGCGGGACAGTCGTTGTGAGGACCCGGCTGTTTTCTGATGCACAAAGGGTGGCTTAAGGCAGAACAAGCTCACCAGTGTTGGGGCAGGTACTGGTTGGGAGAAGTTAGGCAAAGCCTGCCTGCCCTTATCGGACCAAGATGGCTAGCCCCAGAACAATGAGCCATCTCCTGGGTACCAGGCTGAATGATCAAGGCACCACCCTACCTCGGAATTTTTTGGATGGAGATGGCTTAAAGCCCCTGCAGCGTCTACCCACCTGCAGCTCTTCTACCCCCTCCCTTTCTTGGTTACCCTCCTGACCAGCTTAAACACTTCCTCTCCAGGACACCTAAGTGCGACTTCTCGGGTCCTCCCCTGGGGGCCCATGGAGCTCGCCCAGGGGCTCCCTTGTCTCTCTCTCGGGCAGGGGGACTTCACTGACTCCTTGCTGGAGCCTGCGACTCTTGTCAGGAAGCACAGAAGAACGTCTCCTTACTAGCCACTGGGGCTCGCTGTGTCACGGAGCAGGTTGTCCGGGATCGGCGGCACTCTGCATCATTTACCTTGACAGCACGGCCCTGCGGTGAAGGCACAGACGGCCCCAGTCTGTCAGGGATGACAGGTGCGCGCTCCCCACCCCCAAATCAGTGTCATGGCGAGGCCATGATTGTCTGAGAGCTAATGTCATGAAGGAATGCGGTGATGTGTTGGTCGTGTATTGATCTCGGGGTGATCTGAGGGCATAGGCCAGTAAGAGGATTAAGCGTGGGATCTTACACCCTTGACCCCATTACAGCCCTGACCTGGCGGAAGAGGAGTTTCCCTGGGGTGTGGCCTGCAACACATCCCTCTTAGAAAAGGAGAGAAGGGCGCAGACATTAGA